ATATATATATATATATATATATATATATATATATATATGTATATATAATCTTCTTTCTTAACAGGCAAAAGATACTTAGCAAAGTGCTGACAACATTTTTTTCACTCACATATGCACATGCACCCACATATGAAGAAGTACACAGACACAGATACACCTTACACACAGATACACCACCTACAGATACACCTTACACACAGATACACCACACACAGGTACACCACATACAGGTACAACTTACAGCCAGATACACCACATACAGATACACCTTACACACACATACACCACACACAGATACACCATACACATAGATACACCACATACAGATACACCTTACACACAGATACACCACACACAGATACACCACATACAGATACACCTTACACACAGATATACCACATCCATATACACCTTACACACAGATACACCACACACAGATACACCATACACACAGATACACCACACACAGATATACCTTACACACAGATAAGCCACATACAGATACACCACATACAGATACACCTTACACACAGATACACCATATACAGATACACCATACACACAGATACACCACACACAGATACACCTTACACACAGATATACCACATACAGATACACCATACACACAGATACACCTTACACACAGATACACCATACACACAGATACACCACACACAGATACACCTTACACACAGATATACCACATACAGATACACCATACACACAGATACACCTTACACACAGATACACCATACACACAGATACACCACATACAGATACACCTTACACACAGATACACCATACACACAGATACACCACATACAGATACACCATACACAAAACAAAAAAGAAAATATATCTGGCTATAGAAATAAATCCAACAATTCAATAACCTGCCTTTTACCTCCTAAAACTGAAGGAACCGCTGTTAACACTGTGCTATATATGCTTATATAAATGTATAGATGTTTATGTAGGCCTCACTATTAAAAATGAAAAATACACAAAAAAGAAAAAAATGAAAAACACACTATATATAGTATTCTATCCCCTACACTTATTTTAAAAGATTTTATTAATTTATTATGTATGCAACATTCTGCTTCCATGTATATCCACACACCAGAAGAGGGCATCAGATCTCATAATGGATGGTTGTGAGCCACCTTGTGGTTGCTGGGAATTGAACTCAGGACCTCTGGAAGAGCAGTCGGTCCTCTTAACCTCTGAGCCATCTCTCCAGCTCCTATCCCCTACACTTTTACTTGATTTATCATGTATATCATTCCCAATCTATTTCAACTCATCAATGAACTCTTTAAAGATGAGTTTTCATGATGGTTAATTTACAAACTGATTTTTTTAAAAAAAATGGTATAAATTAAGAGAGGGGGAAAAAAATGACTCTTTTTTTTTTTTTCTTTGGTGCCAGGAATTAACCCTGGGAGTTTGGGGTGATATGTTAGGCAAGGGCTCTGCCTGCCACTGAGCTATATCCCAGCTTCTTTTTGCTGTTGTTTTGTTTTCTGAGATAGGTTCTCTCTAGATAGTCTGTACTGTCCTGAAACTTAATATATAACTCAGGCTGGTCTTGAATTCATTGCAGTTCCTCTGTTTCAGCTTCTCAAGTGCTGGTATTACAGGTATTAGTACCATGACCAGATACTTTTTGAGACAGGGTCTCACTAAGTTGTCGAGGCTGGCTTTGAACTTATTCTATAAGCCAAGTAGGCCTTGGACTTGTTATCCCTCCCCATCACCCTCTGGAGTAGCTGGGATCATGGGCCTGTGCCAATAGCCCTAGCTTAATTTGACCTGCTCGACTTGAAGTCATCTCTACCATCTGCCATCTGTGCTACCTTTCTGTGTCTCAGTTTTCTTTTTTTCTAAAATAACATGGGTGTCTACCTTATCACTTGAGAGGATTAAATGAAAAAAAAGTATGTAAAGATGCTTTCAAAACTGTTCTTAGTATGTTGAAAATACTTAAGAAACGTTAAGAATTAAATTGTTACTGTTAATAAAATACTGAAAATATATATGCTGTTGTTAAGATCATTGTTATTCATGGCCCATGACTTTCTGAATCTGATAGCGAAAGCACTCCAAAGCATGAACTGGAAAGCAAGAGTTCAAAGGAAAAATGCCATAGTGATCATAAAGTCAACAGAAATTCAACTTTATTTTGGAAATGTTGTAATTTAGTCTCCACTTGTATTTCAGGTGGGGAGATCACCTCTAAAAGTGAACTGGACGAACTACAGGAAGAAGTGGCCAGGCGGGCCCAGGAACAGGAACTCCGAAAGAAACGGGAAAAGGAATTAGAGGCTGCTAAAGGATTTAACCCTCATCCCAGCCGATATATGGACTTGGATGAACTACAGAATCAGGGTAATTGTGAGAATTAGGCTGTAGGTAATGGGGACAGAGAGAAAAGGCAAAAAGTAAGATTTACACTTAGAAATTTCTTATCTACTGTTTAGTAATATTTGATTTTATCTTTATCTTGGTTCAACTACTATAATGAGAGCTAAGTTATGAATGGACAAGCTTATTCATGAGAGATAGCACCACTTCTAGTTACATCAATTAAAAGCCCGAAGGTTAGGGGCTGGAGAGATGTCTTAGTGGTTAAAAGCACTGGCTGCTCTTCTAGAGGACCTGGATTTCATTCTCAGCATCCAAATGGTGGCTTACAACCATCTGTAACTCCAGTCTCAGGGCTTCTGATGTCCAATTCTGGCCTCCACAGGAACACCTGAGGTACACAGGCAAAATACCTGTAATACACACAAAAATAGAAAAAAAAAAAGTTTAAAGCTTGACTGTTAAGAGATAGTGCATTACTCAGGGAAAATGGTTTCCTTGAACATCTATGTAAACATTTGTGTAAGTAAAACAAGTCTTAACTGAGAGAGTAAGAAAGGATGGTAATGTTTTTAGTGCAGTGCTGAAGACTGACATCCAGGTGGCTCATATACCAGGCAGGCTCTCTGAGCTGTATTCCCAGCTATAATTTGCTAGTTTTGTTTTCAGTTTTGGTTTGGGGGTTTGTGTTGTTTTCTAAATGGGGTTCTCCCTTTGTTGCCCAGGCAGGCCCTGAACTCGTATCATCCTTCCTTAGCCTCCCAAGTAACTTAGGTGGTAACTATGTACCATCACACCCAACCATGATTTATTTTTGATCCCATTACAACTCATCCTCAAATCTCTTATGCTGTGTATATACGTAAACTTCCCCAGTTGCCTCATGTTGGTTAATTACCCTGACCAAAAAACACAAAACCAAATTAGTTTTATAATATCACTTTGTGCCTTGAGACTAGTTCATCAATTTGAGGTATCGTCTTTATCTAGGTTCTGCTGGTAAAATGGTATGAAGTCTAGGAGCCAGTGCCCTTCAATTGGCTGCTTTTGCTCAGTTCTTTCCATACTTAAAGTAGCTTTCTGAATAAATAGTCTTAAACTGAGGACAGCTTTTCCTCTAATCTTACTGTGGTATTTTCTTTCTTTTCCCTATCTGCCTCCTTCTTCCCCCTCCCTCCTTTCTTTCATTTTTCTTCTTTTTGTGATATTAGGGATTGAACTCAGGGCCTCATACATGCCAGGCTCTCTACTGCTGAGCTACATTCCCTGCACTCTTAGTTTCTTTTGATTTGGGACAATTTTTGTCTTCTATTTCCCAAGTTATTTATTGTGTTTGTTTCAAAATGCGCTTTAAAGCCTGGTGTGGTGGCTCACAGCTTTAGTTCCAGCACTTAGAAGACAGAGGCAGGCAAATCTCTGGATTCAATGCCAGCCTGGTCTAATGAGCGAGTTCCGGGACAGCTGGGGCAGAGAAACCCTGTCTCAAAAAAACTAAAAACAAAAATAAAATAACAAAAAAAAGAGCTTTAAAATTTCAATTCCTCTTAGCTGTTTCTATATTTGGATAGTCTGTTTTTCATTTTGAACTCAAGTTTTATCAGTTTGAAGTTCCAGGCTTATATTTTCTTTGTATATGTTTGTATGTTTGCAGGTACACATGTGTGAGTGCATGTGGAGTCCGGAGGACAATCTTAGTTGTTGTCTACCCCCCTGGAGGGTATATGTTCTTTAGTCTGGAACCTAATTAAGTAGGCTAATCTGGTTGACTAGTGAACCCCAAGGGCACACCTATTCTGCCTCTCCAGTGCTAGGATTACAAATGGACACTTAAGCCGGGAGGTCAGGAGGCAGAGACAGGTGAATCTCTGTGAGTTCGAGGCCAGCCTGGTCTATAGAGTGAGTTCCAGGATAGGCTCCAAAACTACAGAGAAAAACAAAACAAAACAAAACAATTGGACACTCCAATACACGGCTGTTTTCATCTGTGCTTTGGGGGTGCTTGTAAGGCAAACACTTTATCAACAGCCATCTCCTCAGCTTTTTTAACCCTTCTTTTTTGAGATCAGGTCTCATCACTTTACAGACTTGGCTAGTCTAGAACTCATTTTATAGATCAAGTTGACCTCACGGTTGTTGTGATCCTCCTTCCAAGTGCTGAGATCACACCATGTGCCACCATACCTTGATTTAAAGTTTGTGTTGCTACTGAGAGATCTTATTATCTTTCTCTTTGTCTTTTCCCTACTCTCTTAGTTAAACCATGCATTGAAGTTGAATCCCACTGATTGTTTCATTGTCAGTTCTCTATAAGCCTCACCTAGAAGAGTAAAGCATGGAGTACTAAGATTTAAATGATAAAGATTTAAATCTAGCATACTGATTCATCAACTATAGTTTGCCTAGATCTTTGTAAAATTGAGAACTTTTACACAGTCTCACAATCTTGCCTGGGCCTTGGAAGGGATTATATGTGTGTACCTCCATGCCTGGCCCTTTGTTTGTTTGTTTGTTTTCAAGCTACCACCTCTAATTGTAAAGATGTTTAGATTTAGTTGATTCCAATTATAGTGAAAGAACTTAGGGTTTAGGGCTAGAGGAAACCAGAGTTCTAGAGATGGGTAAATTGACTGCCAAGGTTTTCAGAACCAACCTACTTTCTACCGTCTTCTTGCCTTCTAGTTTTTCTTTTCTTCTTTCTTTCCTATTTTTTTTCAAGACAGTGTCTCTCTGTAGCCCTGGCTGTCTTGGAACTTGCTCTGTAAACTAGACTGGCCTCAAACTTACAGAGATGTGCCTGCATCTGCCTCCTAAGTGGTGGGATCAAAGGCGTGCGCCACCATGCCCAGCTCTTCTTGCTTTCTAAAAGCTAAATGAAGTAGGGCATGAATTAGTTAAGGTTGTAGCTGAACCTTTCTTATCATATCCATCTGGAGGTAAGTTGAGGATAGGGGAAAGGTAACATTATGAAGAGAAATGACGCAGACTGTATTCTGTTTCATTTTTGTTTTATTATTTTTTTAAAGATTTATTTACTTATTATATGTAGGGGACAGTGTAAGCCACACCTGTAGCCAGCTTCTAGCAGGCGTGGCTTACACTGTCCCCTATAACTCCCCTTTTAGCTTCTAAAGGTGTGGCTTACACTGTTCCTACAAATATGTATACTGTGTTCTGTCTGCATGTATCCCTGCAGGCCAGAAGAGGGCACCAGATCTCATTACAGATTGTTGTGAGCTATCATGTGGTTTGCTGGGAATTGAACTCAGGACCTCTGGAAGACCAGCCAGTGCTCCTAACCACTGAGCCATCTCTCTAGCCCCTTGTTTTGATTTTTTTGAGACAGAATCTCATTATGTAACCATGTCTAGCCAGCACCTTGCTATGTAGATCAGGGATCTTCCTACTTCTACCTCCTGAGTGCTAGAGATAATAGGCATGTGCCATCATACTTGGCTTGAAATTTTATTTTTCTTGCCCCTGTGACCCTGTGAAGGCTCATTGTCAAATCCCATCATAGGTGAATTATCATTATAACTTATCACCAGTTTATGGGTATAGATGAATAGAATTTAAGGATATTTGATGGTCCTTCACAAAAGTTACTATACTTCTTAGTTCTTTTATCTGGCACTGTTCTTGGACCACTCTTTTGTGTAGTGATATCTTGTTGTACTGACCTCCAGACTTCTATGGTTAACTAGTAACTAACTGTGCCCTCTGATCTTCAGGCAAGCTTTGTTTGTTAGAGTATAAATAAGATATCACTACGCTTTTGTACTTGCTTTGACTGACATGCGTTTTGGGAGTAGGGAGAAATAGCCTATGGTTGTTATATGGCAGGTGCCTTTTTAGGGATATGTTTGGTGAGTGAGGCATGATAAAAGTAAAAACTTTGCATTGCTGCAGAAAGGTCAGTCCATGTACATACAAATGTAGTTCAACTGCTGTGGTAGATATATTGAAACAGAGACTATAGACCATTTCTGTCCAAGAGGCATATTGATAGGACAGAGTGGTGAAGAGAGAATTGTAGCAATATGAAGAAGCAGTATGGATAACTTTCTATAGAATAGTTAAATCCATGGTTGCCACTACATCAGTAGAAGTCTGGGGTGTTCTGATGGTAGTTGACAAGGTGTGTCCTGTTATTTCGTGGAAGAGCAGTTCAGTTCCAGGCATAAGAGTCATGTTGGTACTATGGACAATTGTTCTTTCCTTGGGAGGTATTAGAGTTGGAATGTGGATATGGCAGTCAAATACCTCCCTTTTTCTGGCCTTGGTTAGGTCTTAGTTGATGCAAAAATAGATGTCTTACTTGTTCTAAAAACTTTTTAATAGCAATGGATAGTTAGATCAGTGGCTTAACAGCAAGGATCTGTATGCCCCAAAGAGAAGAAACAGTACATAGGAGAAGTTGGAATTAATTATAATAAAAATGAAAAGTGCTGGCCCTTTCAGGGAGGAGTGACGGCTTTGAAAGGTCCTTACAAGAGGCAAATTCAGTATTTGAAGAGTCGCTGCTTCTGGAACAAAAGGGAGACTGTGCTGCAGCTTTGGCTCTCTGTAACGAAGCTATCTGTAAGTAACTCAACTGCTATGGCTATGGCGTTTTTAACTAACTCCACAGTAGCTACTTGTGTTGTCATGCAGATGGCCATATGAACAGTTTTTTAATGTCTCTTGTGTCCCCAAGCTTAGGCCAGTTAGCTTTCTTTGCCCTTCAGATTTCAAAATGTACCTGGTGGTGTCACTGTCGTTTGTGGACAGTTACTGGAACAACCTCAACAGGAAGCCACAGATGAATTCTTGTATCTGCCTTTTTTCTCCGAAAATAAAGTTAGAATATAGATAAGAGGTTAGCCCATTCTTCCTGTAGTCATTGATTACTAAGTAGGAAAACTGAATAAACTGGCTCTGATTTCCTAGGCCAGTAACTTTTCATTGTAATATTCCATTCTTTTTGTTTCTCCCTTGCCTTCCTGGTATGCAGTACCATAATTAACAGCAAGGGATTAAGGCTAAGAATTGGTATCTGACTCTTAAATATGACCCACAAGAAGCTGTGCTCTGTAAAGACAGATGCAGGTTTGGATCTTATTTTTTGCTCTTGGCCATTAGACACGGGTTGTTGGGATCAGAGTGTGGAGACCAGAGTCAAACAGGTCAGTGAAAAGATAAAAGAGTGGCAATCTCCAAGCACTAGTTTATCTTCCTGGTTCCTTTTAAGTTTTGTTTTATTTTCTTTAGTATTTTGTTTGTTTAAATTTGAATTAACTTGTTTGGCCTCCATGGCTTCCATGAATGTTCCCTAGAGCCAGAGCCAGTTCTCACCCTGGACAGCGCATGCACAGTCCACGCCTTGCATTCCTGCTGCGTATTTTGTTTTATTGCCTATCTTTGCTTGGTTTTGGCTTAGTTTTTGTTCTTTTATTTTTGTTTGTATTTTGTGTTGTTTCTGCTATATTTTCTTTTGCATTTTAGCTAAACTAAGACTTACCCTGCATGGTGCCAGCTCTAGCACGCACAGCAGAGCCCTAGTCGATAAGAAGTTGCAAATCAGTATTCGAAAAGCACGAAGCCTGCAGGATCGCATGCAGCAGCAAGCATCATCGCAGCAGCCGGTGCAGCCCTCATCCTCTCTCCCACCACAGGGGGGTGCCCTCCCTCAGCTGACAAGGTAGTGCTTGAGAACCACATAGTTTATGGACATCAGGGGAGGAAGTGACCATGCTCCATAGCACGGGTTACTGTCTTCTCCACTGCCAGAGAAGAGAAAAATACACTGCTAAGATTTTCTTCTTTCAGGTCAGAGACACAAAAGCTTATTGTATGCATGGTTCATTTCTTAATGCTTCCTAGAAAGATGCAAAAAAGTACAAAATAACAAGTTATCCAAATTTGGACTTGTATAACAACATTATTTATTATATTTGTATTTATTATGTTCTTATGGGATCTGGTCTGACTTTCATGTTGTAGTAGCAACCATTTGATTTATTTTGGAATTTCAATGTTTCCTATCCCCTCAAAGAAAATAACCAGTTTATATTTTGCTTTGATTACACCATAAGGAAGAAACACAAAGATTTTCTTTGTTTGCTTCTGTAAGGTCAGGACTAGGAAAAAGTCCCAAGAGGTACTGGGGTAGTCCCATATTTTAGGGGTTTTAATTTGGCTTTTACTTAGAATAAATTAATTTTTTTAAAAATTAACTCTGGCTATTAATAAATTTGAATAGTTTTCAAAATATAAGTATAATAAAAGCAGATAACTTTTTCTTTTCAGGTGTGTGTCTTTTAAAAATTAACTCTGGCTATTAATAAATTTGAATAGTTTTCAAAATATAAGTATAATAAAAGCAGATAACTTATTCTTTTCAGGTGTGTGTCTGTGTGTGTGTGTGTGTGTGTGTGTGTGTGTGTTTTGCTGGGGATAGAACCCAGGAACTTGTTTGTATATACTACTAGGCAAGTGCTCTATCAGTGAGGTACACATCTTTGCCTTGGTTGTTTGTCTTTTGATTATCAGCTGCATTATGGTTGTTAACATTTTTGAGCATTTGCCTGGGTTCAGGTCAGAACCAAGTACTTTGTGCTTTATTTTGTTATTACAATGACCTGATGAGATGGGGCTGTTAGCATGTTTTGTAAGAGGACTTGCAGAGAAGATAGTTACTTAGCTAGTAAGTGGTAGAAGTATAGAAATCAGATCCAGATCTGTTTGATGCCAGTGCTTTCTCCCTTTCTCCCTCCCTCTTTCTTTTCTTTCATTTGAGGCAGTCTCTTATAGCCCAGGCTAACAAGGGCTTGAAGACATTGAACTCCTGATCTTCTTGCTTTTGCCTCTGGAGTACTAGTATTGCAGGCCTGTTTGCTACCACCCTGGTTTCTTTAGTTCTGTGAGCTGAACCCGAGGCATCCTGCACATTGGGCCAGCACTCTTACCAAATGAGCAACATTGCTAGGCCAGGTTTTCTTGTTTTGATTAGAGTTTTACATTCATGTTACAAGAGTGATGGGATGACTAAATCCACAAACATTTGTAATATACAGGTTGAGGATTTCTTATCTAAAATGGCTTGAGACCAGAAGTCAGTATCTGTTTGTCTCTCTCTCTCTATGTCTTTATGTCTCTTTCGTCTTTCTGTCTCTGCCTTTCTTTCTGTTCTCCCTTTTTCTCCCTCTCTAGCTTTCTCTTGTATCTCTGTCTTTTTATTTCTTTCTGGCTCTCTCTCTTTCCCTTTCCCTCCCTTCCTCTTACCTCCCTCTACCTTTTTCTCTACATTTTTTGAGATAGGGTTTTGCTTTGTAGCTTTAGCTGGTCTGGAACTTACTAGGCAGACTGTGTTGGTCTCAAGCCTATTGTGATCCTCCTGCCTCTGGTTCCTAAGTGCTGGGGTTAGAGGTTGGCACTGCTGTCTAGCTCAGATTTCAGGTTTTGTTTTTTTTTTGTTTTTTTTTTTCTCTCAGATTTTAGAACACTCACGTAGGTAAGCTGAATATCCTCAGATTTTTGGAACACTCTTGTAGATAGGCTGAATACCCTCAGATTTTGGAACACTCAAATAGATAGGCTGAATACCCTCAGCCCTGAAATCTGAGGTCTGAGGTGCTCCAAGTTCCAAACTTAACTTTCATCATTGTGTCTGTGCTCAAAAAGAATTGGGAGTTTGAAGCATTTTAGTTTTGGATTTTCATATTCTTAATCTTGATAATCTAAATCTTGATAATTCTTAATCTTTATAATCTAAAATTGGAAAGGTTGAAGTTTCCTATTAGACTACATGTGTTTTGGTCAGAAATCGAAAACAGTGAGAATCAACTAAATGCAGTTGTCCTGTTTCCTAGTCCTCAGTGTGAAGAGTATCCTGATGTATCACTGTAAGGAAGCATCTGAGTGAGGAATACAATGAATAAGCACCTAGTTGATTTCTGTACACTCCGGGAATGCAAATCACCTTGTATTCTGTAGTAATAATATCCTTTTTACTGAGCTACTGCATAGGACTTTAGGAGAGCACTTCCTTCTTTGTACAGCAGCTGGGATTTTTGTTATATGGCATGAGTGATTTTTAGGCGTTCCCACCTGTATCATCTGCATGGGAGAGAAACAATTTTTATCTTTTTTTAACTTGCAAGTAGAATGTGATTGGAATGAGACTTCACAGGTTGTGGAGAATTTTGTCAAAGACTGTACTTAATACCACATATACAAAATTGGTGATGACATTGAATAGATAATAATATTACCTTCCCTTTCTTTTGTGAACCTGTGAACTATTGGCTTTGTTTGTGTTGGTCTTTCTCTTCATGATATCTGTGAATAACTGTAAGTGAAATGGAATGAATAGTTCTTTTTGGAAGTATTATAGTTAAAGCACCTTCTGACTGATTCTCTCCATTTGTTTCAGTGAGCAGCCTATCCCGCTCCAAGTATTGTTAAGCCAGGAGGCACAGCTGGAACCCTGCAAGGATACAGAGTTTGGGACCAGTTCTTTCTTCCACTCACCTGCTTCCTGCCATGAGTCACACTCATCATTCGCCCCAGAGCCATCTGTTTCATCTGGTTCACAGCACAATTCCCCTAGTAGATCTCTGAAGCTTCTGACGTCATTTGAGGTGGACAGCATTAATCCCTCTGCATTCCACAGGCGGGATTTACCTAAAACAACAGGCAGAGTTGAGATGAATTCTCAGCATGAATGTCTGCCATTGGATGCCCTTGAAGATAAACTACAAGGCCACAGGGATGACAACAGCACTTGCAGCAAATTCCCACCACCAGAAGGAAGGGACATAGTTCAAGATCTGCTGTTTGAAGAAAAGAAGAATCCTATTGATATATCCATGGTGATGCCTTGGTCACATTCAACAGGCGAAGCCACTTCTGAAACAGTTATACATAGCCTAAATAGTCCTTCAGGCTCATCAGCTCAGCCTAGTATTCCTCCTTACAGGGCCTACCACCCCATTATGTCTGCTGCTGCTTCACCTGAGCTTCATGCTATTGATCCCATGCAGAAACTTAACCAACATCTTCAAGCCCAAAGACTCCAAACTTCATTGACTTCAAAAGTGGTCAGAGGCAGTGAGGAGCCCTGTAGGCCAGAGTTCCCCAGTACAAAAGGACTTGTCCGCTCATTGACAGAGCAGTTCCAGAAGATGCAGAATACCTCTATGAGGGATGTTATAGGTTCCCAGGATCGAAATTTGCCAAATGGTCTAAGGAAGAACTCTTCTGACTTTATACCTCCATTACCCCAGGGTTCAGGAAAAGACCACTGTCGCTGGGTAAAACTGCAGCCTTCTGTAGATGGCAGGGAAAGACTGCCCTCCTGGGAAGATCCTGCTGATAATCCTCTTGCTGTGGACTCTGGGCTTCCCAATGGGGAAACCGCTGGAAGAGGACAGCCCAGATTGGCTGAGCCAAATATATACCAAGGAAAGCTACCCCAAGTGACAGAGACTAGGTCCAAGGAACTGGGTAGCAGTGTCAACTTGGGGACATCTTTGTCTTTGGATTCCTGGGTAAATGTCACAAGACTCTGTGATTCTCAGGTTACACACAGGGGCCCTGGGCCTGGAGTCAAGCCCTCTTCTCATGATACCCATAAATGTGTAACCTATCCAGAGAGAAATCACATCCTTTTGCATCCACACTGGAACCAAGACACAGAGCAAGAGACCTCTGAGTTGGAGTCTCTCTACCAAGCCAGTCTTCAGGCCTCTCCAACTGGCTGTTCTGAATGGAGGTTGCAGGATGTGGCTTGGCAGACACTTAACCAAACAGGTAAAAATACGACCAGTGGTGGGGACATACAAAAACTGAAAGCCAGAGAAGCAATAAAACTTCTGACTTTCCTCCTACAGCTTTCAGGAGACGGACTAGACTTTTTTTTTTCCTTTCTGGCCAGAATGGAGATGGGGTCAGAATTATCCCTCAGAGAGTAATTCCTTCCTTAAAAGGAAATGACCACTTAAGTATTTGCTTGTGGTCTCTCCAGAATGTAGTCTAAAGAAGTGGTTGATAGGTCTCTGAGAACGAGATAGCAGGAAATGAGGAAGGCTGAGAAGAGTTCTCTTTTTCTGTGTTTTAGATGTTAAAGTAATCCAAGAATCAGGCTCCAGGTTTATCTTGCAACAAGAATAACCACACTAAACCAAGTCTCTACATTTGACATTTTCTGATTTTACTTAGCTACCAATATCAAGACCTCTGGTTCTTCCAGGGACTGCCATTTATGTTCCTTGGATACTACATAGACTTAAAAGTTGATATTATGGTGTTTCTGATCTGCATTCTAATGTAGACTTTACAATAATATTTACTAAGTACTCTGTAGGTACACAAGACAAGTTAATATGGAATGATTTTAATGAATTCAGAAAGGCCAGGATCTATTTCACTGAGCTTCTAATGTAAGAGAAAAAGAATGCTTGAAGACATTAAGTTAAAATTAAGTGTTTTAAGAATAATAGTATCATGCCACTGAGATGGTATAGTGGGAAAAGGCACTTTCTGCACAAGTCTAGTGACTTGAACTTGACTCCCAGAACCCATCCTCATTAAGGGTGGAAGGAGACAGGGTAGTGCGATGGATCAGTGGTTACGAATATTTTCTGCTTGCTGGGTATAGTGGTGGCACTCCCCTTTAATCCCTGTACTCAGGAGATAGAGACAGGCAGATCTGTGAGTTTGAGCGCAGCCTGTTCTACAGAGTGAGTTCCAGGACAGCAAGGGCTACACAGAGAAACTGTCTCAGAAAAGCAAACAAACAAATGAAAAAACAAAAAACCTTTCTGCTCTTCCAGACTTTACATGGGTTCAATTTCCAGCAACCACATGGTGGGTCACAACTGATGCCCTCTTCTGGCTTTTGTGAGAACTGCATTCATGTGTTATACAGATATGCATGCAGGTGAAACATTCATATACATAAAATACAAATTAATCTTTAAGAAAAAAAGATGGATATAGAGAACTGACTCTACAAAGTTGTTCTCTGACCTCCACATGCATGCTGTAACATGTGTACCTACATACACATACATCATAGACATATAAAAGTAAATAAAATATCACATAAAATAAAGCATTACAAAATTAAACTAGTTGAATATTAAACATACAAAACAAAACTGGAAAACTTTTATAATACTTAAAATAAAGCCAGATGTCTTGGCACACACCTTTAATTACAGCTCTTGGAAGGCACAGACAGGCAGATGTGTATGAGTTTGAGGCTAGCCTGGTCAACATAGTGAGTTCCAGGACAAGAGCTACATAGTGAGACTCTGTCTCAATAAACAAACAACAAAAATCAACTTACAATAACATTTCTCACTGTAGGTATTTCCAAAAATGTATAAACTAACGATTTCTTTTCCTATTGCTGTAAAAAGAAAAAAATATCCTGACATCAGCTTAAGGGTCAAAGGTGTATTGTTTTGGTTCATAATTCAAGTCCGTTCTGATGGGAATTGAAGCCTGGAGGAACTTGAAGCATCAGGTCATCACATCCATACTCAAGAAGCAGAGAGGAATGAATGCATGCTGCTACTTAGTTCCTTTTCTCCACTTACACAGTTTAGGACTCCAGCCAGGAGGTGGGCCATCCACAGTGGTTCAGTCTTCATCTCAGCTAACACTATTGCATTCTTAGGGTTTTTTTTTTTGGGGGGGGCAGGTTTTTGTTTGTTTGTTTGTTTTAGCATAGTTTATTGAATGCATAAGAGAGCCAGTGGGCTGGACAGTAACTTAACTACTGCCTATAGCCTAGTCTAGTGTTTTTGTAAGTTTACCTTTGACCTTTTTTGTTTGTAACTGCAAAACTTTTTCTTGTTTTGAGATTCTTATCATGTAGTCCAGGTTGGTATTAAACTCAGTACGTAGCTCCAGCTATCCTCAAATTTATGGGGATCCTCTTGCCTCAGATTATTCTTATCCTCTGCCTCCCAGATTATTGGGGTTCAAGGCAAATACTACGCCAGCTTACCACAACCAGTTTTATTTTATGCTTATGGGTATTTTACCTGCATGTATGGCTGCACACCTTGTGCCTACCTGGTACCTGCATACTAGGAGAGGACATGGGATCCCCTGGAACTGTACTTAGGAATGGATGTAAACCACCAGGTGGGTGCTTGGAATCAACCAAAGTACTCTATAAGAGGAGCCAGTGCTCTTAACTGTCCACCAAAACCAGTTTTGTTTGTTTTTTGTTTTTGTTTGTTTGCTTGTTTTTATTTTTTCGAGACAGGGTTTCTCTGTGGCTTTGGAGGCTGTCCTGGAACTAGCTCTTATAGACCATGCTGGTCTGGAATTCACAGAGATCCACCTGCCTCTGCCTCCCAAGTGCTGGGATTAAAGGCTTGCACACTCCCCCCCCCCACACACACACAAAACCAGTTTTAAAGGGTTGGTTTTTGTTTGTTTGTTTGTTTTTATCACTTTCCAAAGAAGTCTCCTATTCAGCAACAGTTCTATGCCTCTTGTCCTTTATCCATCTCCCTTACTCCAGCCAAGTAAATGCAAGTGTTTCTTCTATGCATTGATCTGTTCTGGACATTTCCTATGAATGAAATCAGTGTTTGGTCTTTTGTGATGATTAATCCTGACTTATTAGTTCCTGAAGAATTGTATAGCCTCTGCTTTTTTGTTCTATATTATAAGTTTTCTGGTGCCTTCAAGTTGCACAGAAATCATTGTATCCATGTCTACTGAAACATTAAAAGTAGCTTTTGCACTCCTTTAATCCAAACACTTAGATGGCAACAGGAGGTAGATCCTTGTGTGTTCTAGTGCAGTCTGGTATACATGGTGAGTTCCAAGTCAGCCAGGTTTACATAGTGAAACTCTGTTTCAAAAATCGAGGAAAGAAAATTTAAATATATTAAAAAGAGTGAAAGTAAATGTTGTAATTAACCCCCAGGTAGTTTTTACCAGTTTTCCTGGTGATTAACTTGTCATTTTATGAACAAAAGACCAATTTTGATTTGGCCATAACATCTCCACACATACTTTCCTTCCTCACAAGATTTTAAATTTTTCCCTATAAGATCATTATTATAAAATATGATCACTGTAAATGGATTGTGCAATGCATTACTTACAGGTTTGTGGTGTGGTAGTTTTTTGTTTTGTTAACTGTTTAGATACATGATGCTGGTTGTTATGTACCAGGGATCAGTACAGGAACACGTTGCACAAGTTGATAGACTAAAAAATAAGGCGCTATACCTACGTGTACCTACTTGTTTATTTTAAAAAAATATCAGACAGTATATTGTTTCTTTCCTTCCTTCCTTCCTCTTTTTTTTTTTTTTTTTTTTTCCCCCGAGACAGGATTTCTCTGTGTAGCCTTGGAGCCTGTCCTGGCACTTGTTCTGTAGACCAGGCTGGCCTCAGACTGTCAGAGATCTGCCTGCCTTTGCCTCCCAAGTTCTGGGATTAACTGTGTGCACCACTACCCGATTATTTCTTTCTTAAACAAACAAACATTTATGGGTGCTGAGAGATGGATCAGTGGTTAAAAGCATTTTGTGCACTTGGAGAGGGTGCAGCACCTACATGATGACTCACCACCATATGTAACTCCAATCCCAAGGCATCTGATGCTGGCTTCTGTTCTCTGCAGGCACCAGGTATGCATGTTGTGCATAGACATAGAGGCAGGCAAAACACCCATATGCATAAAAATAAGAATAAATATATTTTTAAAAAATGACTTGAATTTGAATGTTCAATCTAAAGAGGTAAAACTATGAAAATAAAATAAAAAAAAAACTATGAGAAAAGCTTTAAGGCCTGGATTTGACAATTTCTTAGATATGACACCAAGAAAACAGGCTATAGGAGGTAAAAATAGCATAAACTATGTGTGCTACATCAAAGTTGAGAACTTTTTTGTATCAAAGGATACTACTGGGCTACAGGTATGAACCAGTGGTAGAACATGTAGCTAATTAGCATCCACCAGGCCCCAGATTCAACCTCCAAGACCATGGAAAAATAAAAATTAAAAAGGATGCTATGTGGGACTGGAGAGATGGTTTAGTGGCTTAGAGCACTTGTTGCTCTTACAGAGGACCCAGGTTCAATTACCAGCACCTATATGGCAGCTCACAGCCATCTTCAACTCCAGTTCCAGGGGTTCTAGTGCCCTCTTCTGACTTCTAGGGCCACTGCATGCAAGTGCTACACAGACACACATGTAGACATTACACTTATACACAGAAAATAATATAAAAAACAAAACTGGAACCATTTAGTATATGTATATGTATGTTTGTCTTAGCACATGTGCCTTGTTCAGAGGACAACCTGCACAGTTGGAATGTATGTCTGTGCACCACATGTGTGCAGCACCTGTGGAGGGCAGGAGGAGGAGTCTCTAGATCAAAAGTTACAGATGGTTGTGAATTACTGTGTAGCTGCTGGGAATCAAACCCAGGTCCTCTGGAAGCTTAGCCAGTGCTCTTAACTGCTAAGCCATTTCTCTAGCCCTTTATTTATTTATTAAAAACATTTTTTGTTACAGTCTCCTGTAGCTCAGAATGGCCTTAAACTTCTTCATCCTCCTGTCTCTACCTTGTAAGTACTTGGAATACAGTTGTTTGTCATCACACCAGGCTGCATTTTAAAATTATTTATTAGTTGGAGGGCCTTTTAAAAGTAAAGACTTTCTCCATGTAATGGTGTTTCCTCCCTTTAATTCTAGCACTCAGGAGGCAGAGGCAGGCAGATCTCTGAGTTCAAGGCCAGCCTGGTCTAAAGATTGAGTTCCAGGACACACTGGACTGTTGCACAGAGAAACCCTGTCTTGATCCCCCCCCCCAAAAAAGTAAAAAGTCCCAAGGTTCCACCAGAAACATTCTGAGTCAGATCTGTGGTAAGGCCCGGGAAGTTGGTGTCTTGTCTTTGTCCCATGCCCATACCCCCTTTCTACTCACTGAAGATTGAATCCCCAGAACTTCATGCAAGTGTTATACAACTGAACTATAACCCCATTCCCTGAGAAGGTATACTTTTTAAGGCTCCCAGATGAATCAGTACTATTATAAAAATCAGTGCATTAAGTAATAGGAAATATTCAAAATAACTGATCTTAAGTACCTACATGAACTTATGCCATGTATGTATGTGTGTGTGCACATGCACCTGTATCACAGCAGCATATCCAGATACGAATTGGGGTGTGTGTGTGTGTGTGTGTGTGTGTGTGTGTGTGTGTGTGTGCGCGCGCGCGCGCGTGCGCGCGCGTTCGCATGCTTGCACTCACACACACATACCAATGTAGGTCAAGGGCAGGTACATTTTCAAAGACTTTAATTAGTTGAATTGGGGACAGCCCCTTGGGAGGGGTCACATATCAGTTTAGAGTGGTATTAATGGTTGTTTATAATTCAAGTGACTGAGAAAAAGCCAAGAGTAAGTGGGGATAAAAGAATATCACACATGCTAAATATTCCTGAAGTGATCCTTCTCAGGGAGAGTGGGAAGGCATCAGAAGACAATAGAACACTGTGCTGAACATTGAAAAACTTGAGTTCCAGTTCTGGTTAAAACACTATCAGACTCTGGAACTCATTTTCCTGTTATATCAAAGGAAGCAGATTTGATTTACAATGACTGTGATCATTAAATTCTGAACTAAACTAGAGATATTAAACATTTTTTTTCTTAACACAATATGTTAGAAGATCACTGTCAGATAGTTTCCTCTATAGACTACAAGTATTGGGCCCAATTCTAAAAAAGAACAGAACTGGCTTTATTCATAAAAGAGACATGTTAAAGGACAGAGGATATTAAGCAGATTGTTTTTAGAGCTCCTTTCTTAGAAACGTCTTCAGTAGTTTTGGTGTAGGAATTTGTCTACATTCTGAGATTTGCTGTTTATAGACTCAAGGAGCACACTCCCCGTTGGACTCAGACATGCATGAGAATTACTTTCTCTGGTGCTTGTGCTCCCAGGCTCAGGTTTTAGCCCCAGAGGAGGGATGGCTTCAGCTTGTTTTTGTTTTCTTCCTTAGGCTTTGCAGATGGCATGGGGAGGAGACTGCACTCAGCCCCTGGTCTTGATCTCTCAAAGACTCCAACAGCAGAGATGGAGCATGCTCTTCATGGATCGAGCACAGCGCCTGTCTCTCAGGTATCAGCCTCTAGTGCTATAGTGCTGGACTTGGGAGGTGAACTAGAGAAGAAAGCATGCAAAGAGACCAGTGGAAGGGAGCTAGTTGGTGCACAGGCCTACGCCTGGTGTGAGGCTGCGAGAATGATCTAAATCGGACTGCTTTGAGTGATAGGAGGCTATCACATGGCATCTGCCTTTGGAGTCTGTCTAATTTAGATGTTAATTCAGAGTCTTAACCAGTTTTTCCCATACCCCTGAGTACAGGGCCTGGGGGGAAAAGAAAACACAGGTCTAATGTCTTACATCAGCCTGTGTGTGGGGGTGTGTGTGTGTGTGTGTGTGTGTGTGTGTGTGTGTGTGTGTGTGTGTGTTTGAAAGCTGCTGCTTGTTGAGGTCTCAGAGGGGATGGGGAGGATGCATCTCACCAGTCTAAGTGAAAGCCTTTCCTCAGGAAGGGAGGCAGCGCAGGCTGTTAGACCCCCGAAAACTCAAGTATTCGGGGTCTCAGGCCAGGTTCGCGGTCACCCCAATCACCAGGCGGATTCGAGAGCTTGCTGCAAACTGCACGAGGCTTTATTGTAATTTAACGAACTAACCCCATGTTAGCTCGGGTCTTTCA